GATTAAATCATGAAAGGGACAGCTTTGGACTACCCAAAGTTTATGAACGTGTTTATGAACGCGTTTAAAAAGAGTGTTTTCTAGAACAAACCTTGTAAGAGACTGAATATAGAGGAAATTTTTCTACATCAAAATTAGAAGTATTAGTTTAGGCTTCAGGGGAGCCTAAGTTCGGGGGTAGTAATGTGTCTTATCCATTAAGAAGCATACAATTGTTAGCTATGATTTATCCATCAAAAGCTGTGACACAGTTTATAAGTTCCTCACAAAGATAATTAGACTTTATGCTATTAAACTACTCGGTTAAAACTACATTTACTTTTTCTTTGTTTAATTTATCAAAATTGAAAAAAGTTAATATGAATATTTTAGAAACTTGTTAAGCGTAATATTATATTTTACTTGTTCAACACGAGTTTAAGCTCCTCACCAATTATCGAGCATGTCTAAGCATTTTACAACTGTTGAAGAGCTTACATATTCTCTTTGGCTAAAAACAAGTCAAGTCGAACACCTGCAAAAACTCCTAGCCTTCCAACTGCTATTTATATTGTATACTTAAAATTAGTTCAAAACATCTAACTAATTGGTTTCCAGAATTTACATTTTGTGAATGCAACATTTTGAAAAGTTTGTTGTTTCAATTCAAATGTGAGTGTGTATGACACCTTGTGAGTAAATCATAAAACTATCTTACGGGAGACAGTTCTGTATGAAAAAGCATCAACAATTGTATTAAAATTAGCACATAAAAAGGAACTACATGTAGGAAACCGGCTGTTCTTGGTCATAATTAAAAAGCATCAGTATATATTTAGTAGGATAAGTTTAGGGACAGCAGTTGTTCTATAACCTTGAAAAAAAAAACTGCAGGCTACGCTTGTTATGCCTGTGTAGTTTCATTATAGTTTAAGATGTTTGAACTTTGACAAGTGTGAATCAAAATAGTAAATGTATTCCAAATGGGGACTAAACTGTTCTGAAATCTGTATTATTCTGGCTTACTTTCTCTTCTCCCTTTTCGTTTATTTCTTTGTTCCTAGTTCAAATCTCTTTGTTGAAAATACCAATTACTTGAATTGATTGCTTGATGCCTTATTTACTCTCCTCTAAGTACTTGCCAAGTATACCGATATGTCCAACCTAGGCAAACCCTTAGGAACATCGCGAATCTCAACTATTATATTAATCCTATATACTTAGCTACATGAGATAGTTTGATAAAATCAGGAACCCATTGGAGGATTCCCAAATATATGGGTCCAATTTGAGCAATCACAACTATTTCATGATAATGATGATGCAGGTTATCATGTGTAGGACATCTACAAGATCAGTTGTCAGATGTGTCTTCTTGAACTACTAAAGCTTCTGGTTTTTTAAGTCAGCAGAGTATAAGCACAAACTTGTCTGGATGCTCATAAGAATCTAGGTTCAGAAAATAATCCTGAAAGGATTATGTATCATAGATGATAAGGCCATAATGCCAAAGTATAGTAAAAAAGCAGCTTATTTTCCATGTTCACAAAACGAATCGCCCTCAACAACATAATGTTTGGAATAAGCATAATTAACAGTATTACGAAAGCATAACTAGAAACCAGACCTTGGAAAAAGGACAATACCTTTAACTCTTTGTTCATAAGCGGCTCTGTCACGCATCATCATGGCTGCAGCTTCTCCATTCAATGGATCTGATGGGTTGGGATATAAAAGAAGCTGAGGAAGAAATACTTCAAACACATTCACCAGGTCTGTGAATCATGGATGCCAAAATATGAGATTGATTGATTACAAGCAGAAAACCAACTTAATTTCTACGAATAATAAAGCATGATAATCAAGGTTATTATTACCAAACATGGGGCTCCATGTCTGATTGATGACATCCAAACAAACTGATCCTGACCTGTGATTACAAGTATAACCCAGATGGTTGAACATACAAGCATTTATCTAAGCAGAGGAACAAAGTGAACTGTGCAGGACAGAAATTATATGTATATATATATATATGTATTTATATTCTTTACATTACAACTCACATTTCATCCACATTTGGGTGATAGATCTTATTGACAAATCCTATTGACGGAGATTTATACGGATAAGCATCAGGGAGCTCAACTCTTATTTTCCAGACACCTCCATGGTAAGGACCTGGGTAGTCCATCAAATGAATTACACAAAGAATAAATTCCATTTCTTTCTTCCTCTTAAACGAGAAATAATATTTTCCATTATGCCATTAGGAGTGGCAACTAAGGGCCATGGAATAGAATGATCAAACAAAAAATATTCAGCCGATATGCAAAGGAAATTCTTTTACAGGCCTGAAAGGAAAAACTGTTCTAAGCAAGTACCAAAATGGGTTAGTGGATGTAAGAGAATTTTTTTTTTTTTTAATAGAAAAAGAAAAGGTAAAGCAAACTGTAATTAAAACTTGAAAAACAGCTTTATAAAATAAATGAATCAGAGAACTAAAAGCATATCGAATAAATATACAGGAACGAAAAGAAAAAAGAGTTAAAGAACAGGTGTTTATTGACTAAACCCGAAGAATAAATTCAGCATCGAATCATCAATAATCAGTCAAAATTTCCAAATCTAGTAAGAAAAAAAGGGTAAGAACAAAAACCCAGAAAAGCAATTTTCTGAATTATAAGCTCAAAACAACTTGAAGCAAGAAACATTTTAGAAAGAAAAATAAGATGTGGGTATTGAAGAGTTACTCTCACTGGGTCCATGAAAATGTACATAAAACTCTTGCATTCCATCATTGATGATCTCCACCTTGTAATCACTCATCATCCTGATAAAACCCAGAAAAAGAAATTGGATTTAGAGAACGAAAAAGAAAAGAAAAGAAAAGAAAAGAAAAGAAAGAAAGAAGCCTGGACAATAAAAGAGGTTAATTGGGGTATTCACAGTTTCATGAGGTCCATCTCTCGGCGTTTGCTTGGTGAAGACATGGTGATTTCTTCTGCTCAAAATAACTCTCTGTTTTTTCTCGTTTGGCTTAAAGGAAAGTAGAAATAGAAAAGGAAAGAAAGAAAGTTGTGGTTTCTTGAAGGAGTCAATTGAGTTTTGCAAGTAAAGAGAAGGAGAAATTAGGTTTAAACATGAATGACTGAAAGACGAAGGCCATGGCTTGCGCTTTTAAGATTCCTCCATTATTTCAGAGACGTACACCGGATTACTCTCTCAAGATTCCTCCACGTAATTTATTATTTATTATTTTATAACTTTTCTGCCGATTAATTAATATGTTTTAATACACTAATTACTTAATTTAATGAGTTTTTGTTTTTAATTACTTTAATTGGAATTTATGTAATTATGTATACGTCAGACATTGTGCATGAGGATAAGATAGATCATCATCACCCTCTGCTCGGTTCAATTCATGCAGACCATTTGACACAATCAAATGAGAAGTACTTCATTAATTAATTTATTTCTGCTTAATTATATATATATATATCTTATTATCTAATTAATGTTTGATTAAAAAGTTAATAACATATTAAACTATTGTACCAATCATTAATCAACTTTTAATATATTTTATTAGAAAAGTGGTTATTAGCCCTTAATTTTTAAGTTTAATTTAAGCACTAGTGCTACTATACCTTCCAATTTACAATACTATTACCATTATTATTACTATTTATTTATGATTTTCATTATAAGAATATTGGGTTTGATTTATTATTATTATTTTTTTAATTACAGTTGGTTAATCAACTCTGTTAGCAATTCATTAATTACAATTAGATATAATGATGATAAATTCCTTTGCAATCAAGGGGCAGGGAGTATGATTAGGTAAATTGAGTGCAGCCCCAAAGCCCAACCCTGACACCATCATTGACAAGGCAAGACCAAGACCAGCACATTATTACTGCATCTCACTTTCTATAAACACATACATATATATATATATATATATATATATATGGGTAGAGAAG